TCCAAATGGTTTAATGATTCATGTACAATGCAAATGATACAATTTGCACACACAATCACTAGTGAATCCATTGCTGGAGAAAAACAAAGTTGTGAGCTCAAACTACTTCCCAAAATGGAGAATTGGACTAGGAAAAAATATGTGAATAGGAAAATTCCGTCCTCTCATGTATCTGAAATTTCCTCCTGTGCTCTGCTGGGAGTTTGTGAAGCAATCACACAAGACCTGATACTTTTCCAGCAACTATCTGAGGAAATGGAACACATATCACTGAATCAGGTGAGCTAATCACAACTGTGCAAAAGGGCAGGGATTAAAGCACTCATTGTACAGATAAAGATGTTGCTTATCTTGCCATAGCTGCAGGACATTTGAAGAATGTATTCATAGCCCGGCTGGTGTTGCTCAGTGGTTGAGCGTCGACCTATGAACCAGGAGGTCACAGTTCAATTCCTGGTCAGGGTACGTCTGGATTGGTGGCTCAATCCCCAGCGGGGGCGGGGTGCAGGAGGCAGCCGATCAGTGAATCTCTCATCATTTGAGGTTTCTATCTCTCTCCCCCTTTCCCTTCCTCTCTGAAATCAATATAAATACTTTTTCCAAAAAAAGATTTTTTAAAAGAATGTATTCATGGAAAATGAGACCCAAGCTAACTCCAAAGAAATTCTGAAAGGCATTTCCATCATAACAGTAAAGAATCTTATAGAACACTGTAACAAACCCAATGACTCAGAACCCGAGCTGTCTGGCTCTTAGCACTGGTACAATTCCAGTTCCTGGTGCAGCTGACTTGTAGGAGAAGTACCCGCATTGAGAGGTTGTGGGTCTTATGGAACACTGATATCCCCCAAAAGTGTCAGGATTAGAGGACATGCTCAAATCTATTTTTGGGTAAAGTATGTTCAAAGTCATAAGAAAAAAAATCCCCTCATATAAAGAATTTGATCCAGCTGGAAAAAACAGATTAAAAACTGTGGCTAAGATCCAAGTTGTAGGTTTTCATGGAATAGTACAAGGTGTGGTAATTAATTTGCAGGAAAAAACAAGTCATCAACTATTTCAAACAATAAAAACAGAAACATGTTTGAAAAAAAAAACTTCGAGTAATTCTAGTAAATGGAGTAACTATAACTAGGAAATATGGAAATTTTTAAATGGGTAACTCTAAAATTTGGAATAAAAATTCAAAGTTTTCAGTTTCTATCATGTACTTTAAACATTTTACGTGGGAAATTTTCAGTATCAAAACCTTGTAGGGAAATGCTCCTGAAGTAGAAAAAAAGTAGGAGAAAAATTCTGTGGCTTGAAAATAGGAAAATGTGATTCAGTTAGAAAATATCTTGAAGCTTAGTCTCTGAACATATAAAAAATGCATAAGGCAAAACAATGCAAGGCCAACTAGGAATAGAATAAGTCCCAGGCAAAAATCAAATGAAAGCTTTAAACAACCCAAATTCTCCTAACAATCAAGTGCCATGGATTCATCAAGTGAGAGAAGGAAGGTCCCAAAAGCTAACTAAAGACCCGCAGGCATTTCTACTCATAATTCTTTGTATACAGTCCAGGTGAAACCACAGGGACATTTCAGAGAGATACCTTCTCGCTTGTATTTGAAAAAGTTAAAGACCATGTGACTGGAATTGGGTCCCTCTATCAAAGGTAAACCAAAAGGCTTTCAGGAGGATAGGCCAACGCTAGAGAGAATCCTGGGATTTCACCCAGAAGAATGTGATTGGCCCAAAGGATTCAAAACAGATTTCCTAATATATTTTTAACCTTTTTATTGTAAAGTGGATACAGTAAACTATACAAAACCAAAAGTAGATCTATTCATCTCTCCAAAGGATCAGCAACTGGTGATCCGAACACTCTAGTACCTTCATTTGCTTCTAACTCAGATCTGTCCTTTAAGGCCAGCACTGCCTTGTTACCTAAGTCCCCAGTCTCTTATGGCATCCTCCAAGACTTTCTGCTGAGCCCCTTGGGGGTCTAATCTGGAAAGGAAGGCAAGGAGGAATTTGTTCTATTGGTATGAAAGGAAGACTGCGTGTAAAGCTCCTTCTCAGAGGAAACCTCACTTAAAAATTGTCTTGCTACTAGGCAGGCGGCCTAATATACAAGATAGTAGCTTTCTTTACCCAATTAACTGCTCGCAAAATACTCATGTTACGATGCTGACAGGACCCAGCTTGATGGCTTCCCACTGGTGAAATCTGAGGCAATTTGAGCATCAAAATGCATGACAGTATAACTCATTGAATAAAGCAAGAAACCTTAAATCCATACTAATGTAAATGAGTAAATAAATGCAGAGATGGGAAAGTTGTTCTGTACAACTAGGAAGAGAATAATACCCACTCAGAAATTAAATGAAAGCTTTAAGTCCAATACATCTAAAAATAGACTATGGCCGAAACCGGTTTGGCTCAGTGAATAGAGCGTTGGCCTGCGGACTAAAGGGTCCCGGGTTCGATTCCGGTAGGGGGCATGTACCTAGGTTGCGGGCACATCCCCAGTGGGGGGTGTGCAGGAGGCAGCTGATCGATGTTTCTCTCTCGTCGATGTTTCTGACTATCTCTCTCCTTTCCTCTCTGTAAAAAATCAATAAAAAATATATAAAAATAAATAAATAAAAATAAAAATAGACTATGATAGAATTATAAAATCACCAATAAATGTTAAAACTATGGGTGAATTTTGGTGATGTACAGCATATTTTTACAGCATCCCCCCACATGTTACTTAAGTTTACAGAGGGGAAAAATAGTAAATGCAGAATGGAGAAGCAAGGCAGCTACTATCGCAACCAAATGAGCGAAGCTGACTTCACCAGTATTGAGACAAACCATCATTATAGGACCTTTCCTCTTCCCACTATTATACACTGAGGACACTGTATCACTTCATAGTATTCCTGCCAAACATGCGAAACTTGAAATATAATTGCAAGGAAACACCAGACAAACCCAAGTTGAGGGAGTTCTACAAAATAACTAGCCTGAATTCTTCCAAAATACCAAGGTACAGAAAGACAAAGAAAGGCCTGGGAACTGTTTCAGACACAAGGAGACTTCAGAGATATAGACAACTAAATGCAACACATGACTCTAGATTGGGTCTTGGAAGAGAAGCTGTAGAGATGATTGGAGTAGCTGTAATGTGAATAGGAACTATATTGTGGTGTATGAATTCAATTTCCTCATTCTGATAACTATATTATGGTCATATGAGAGAATGTCATTATCATTCTTGGGAAATACACACTGGATTACCTAGGGGTAAAGGGTACACTGTCTTCAAATTACTCTGAAATGGTTCGGAGGGGGGGGGGGAGGTGTGTGTGTATGAAGAGAGGAACAGAAAAGAACATAGCAATGGTGTAACAGTTTAAAAAATTGATAAAGGATTTCTCCATACTATTCTTACAATTTTTCTGTAAATTTAAAATAATGAATTTAATGTTACAGACAATGCTGCAATGTTTGCAAAATTCACCTCTTTCATAGTCTAAGATACCATCCAAAGTCAGTTGTTCAAGTTTCTGGTCCCAGAGGAATTAACAATTTGGATGCTACATTCTCCCTAATATTAAAAATAGGAACTATGAAATAGAACCTCTAAGAGGGAGGTGATAAAAGTACAAATTTTAAATCAGTATTTATCTAAATACTAACTTCCTTAATATTTTTCTATTAGTTCCTAATCTTATCTCCTTCTTAACAGGAAGAGACAAGGCCCTTAATTTGGGGGAAATTCTTATTATAGAAATATTCAAATGGAGGATGGGAAATCACCTGTCAGGAGCATCTCAGGATTGTATGTATTAGGCAAAGTACAGCAAAGCTGTGATTCTAACTTCTAAGATTAAATTTTAAATATTGTTAAAAATTCCACTTAAGGAAGAGTGCTGGCAATTTAGAGAATTTCCAAGTCCAGAACTCTCTTCTCTGTCCCCAGATCCTGCTGTCTTCAGGGATGTGCTGAGCATCAGTCATTTTCCGGGTCAACAACTCTGATCCCGATGCTGTTACAAAATAAACCATCCGTCTCTGGGTGCATTGGTCAGCATCTGTTCATTTGCTGATCATCTTAGAACATTGGTTGTTGGGAAAATGCTAAATCCGATATTGGGGCAGGGCTTTGCTGCCACAGATACTCATCTGATCAACTCCCAGAGCATTTGTGAGTGCTAAACGGCCTACCCAAGGATCACCCAATCCAATGCAGTCATTTTGTTCCATGTGATGCTTTCTTCTTCCAATACAACCTGAAAATGTGCTCAACTATCAGAATCCCTGGGTTCTAGGCCAGAACAGCCACTGATGTGTTGTGGAAGCTGGACCAGAGCCTCTCACTGCCTCAACTTCCTTCCCCAGAATACACCGATACTGCTGGGTGCGGACCAGCCTTTCTCCAGGCCTGCAGCTGGACACGGGAAACCGGACTTGTTCCCTTCTCGCCATCCCATCTCCTGGGACCCACCAGTCCCCACCGATTCAATTTTCTTTTCTCAGGATCCACCCCATTCTCTCCATTCTCAGGGCCACTGTGAGTTCAGTTTGGATCTTCATCATTTCCCACCTGAAATACTACAATAGCCTCTCGTTCACTGGTCTTCCTTCCTCAACCACTCCCCTCTCCCTCCCTCCACCACTGTTCCTTCTTCAGAAAAGCTGCCCAGAGGGCTATTTTTCAAGATGAAAATCGGATCATGCCCCTCCCTTCTTAAGCCTTCCCTGGCTCCCTGTTAACTTACACAATGATACCATAACTTAGCATGTGCGTAGGTTTGACTCCCTAATATTCCCATTACCCCTTTTGTCCTATCTTTGACCTTCTTTCCTTTTCACTGTAGGAACCACATCTGACTGTCTGTTTACTTATCTCTTTCCCCCCACAGTAAAATGGATAAGGGCAGAGATTTTCAAAATCAAATTCCTACGGCTAGGACCTGGCATGGTGCCTGGCAACTAAAGTACACTCGAGAAATAGAAACCCGATTGGTCATTAGCACTTAATTTTAATCAAGATTAACAGTTCAGAGGAAGAACAGACTAGAATAGTGTTTACAATCAACTTCTGAAAAATCACATTTATAGAAAGGAAATAAAACAGGCCAGAAATCCCCAAAAGGTGCTGCTCGTATTATTGCACTTGAATGAAAGGCGCTGTTCGGGGCAGCATGACGCGTAGGCCCCACAGGCCAGGAGGAGGAGACAAGCACAGAGGACAAGCCCCCAGGGAGTATTACTCTGGATTCCGAACTCTCCAGCGGCCTCAGAAACATTTAACACTTCGAAACATTCCGTTGGAGCTCTTTACACAAGTGACTGCTGTGTCTTCAACACGCTGTAGTTGCACCCACGCTCTTCGTTACAATTCTTGTGCAAGTTTAAGGTGCGGTTGGACCTCACATGGTGGGACACCTGTTACACCAACAGCACCCGGAGCCCAGGCCATGGTGAGTGGGGTAGGGAGTGAATTTCGACTTTACACACTTTAGGGACCAAAACTGTGGCTATCATTTACTTTTCAAGCACTCTTCATTTTGGTCATTTATTTTGGAACATGAGAAAAAGTGACAGGGTATGTATGAACAGCACTAAAGTAATTCCTAAGCTATTAGTAGAAAATAAAATTTAAAGTTACAAAGTCCCAGCCACATTCTTGAAGTGGCATTAACAGTATGTATAAGAAAAAGGCTGTAAACTTATAGAAAAGATAAACTCTGACTTCTAAACAAATTACAAAATTGATTTTGCCCTTCCCTTGAGTGTTATACAGAAAAATGTAAACCAGTGGACTAGTTACCAAAAAACACTTGTCCTCCTAAGCCGAGGAGCGACCTTAAAGTTTGGCCTGAGCTAGTTTTATCTTCAAGTTTTCTCCGAGTTTGTCCATGAACTCAAACGTATTCAAGTAGTCAGAACGCTGCACGCTGATAGAGGGAGAAAAAGAAAAGACAATTTAGTCTCTGATCTGTAGCAGGCAGAGGAAACGTCCTAGGAATGCTAAAGCAGCATTCTGTTTACTTCTAGAAGAAAACGGATTAACGCTAATAAGCTACAAGTTTGGGGCTGATGACGGCAATCCAGGCTACAGGCAGCTTGCGTCTGGGCCACACACACGTTCTCAGGAGATTCCTGCCATGTGGCTCTGAGGGGAAACTATCACAGAGCTTTAGTTCAGACTAATGCCTGGGAGAATGAAACCATTTGGGGCATGCCATGCTTTTACCCACATCCCCACAAACTGTCGTATGTCCTTTAAAAAAAGTTTTAATGATCTTATTTCTGTGTCTTACTTAAAAACAAAAAGAAGAGCCTGGCTGGTGTGGCTCAGTGGTTGAGTGTCAACCTATGAATCAGGAGGTTGCAGTTTGATTCCTGGTCAGGACACATGTCCGGATTGTGGGCTTGGTCCCCAGTGGGGGGCATGCAGGAGGCAGCCAATCAATGGTTCTCTCTCATCATTGATGTTTCTCTTTCTTTCTCCCTCTCCCTTCCTCTCTCTGAAATCAATAAAAACATATTAAAAAAAAAAACACCCAAAAATAAACACAAAAAGACAACAAAATCCTGCTGATAGGTGCCTATTCAAATAGGCTACAAAGGTACCATTCCAATAAGGACATGTCAAGAGCTGTACTTTTGCTGCAACTTTAAGATAAGAAAGACGTAGTGACCAAGTCAATCCTGGGGCGCACTGACCCTAACTGAGATCTCTGAAGACACACAGCTGGGACATGGGATTGATGTTAAACTCAGTGTTTCCGGAGGTGAATCAGAGTAAACAACTCTGACTTTGAGGGCAAAGTCTCTGATTAGCAGCTAATCCAGCTGGGATACGGGTTACCATGATCTCAGAGAAATCCTGGGCAATACATGGGCCTCGACGTGTGACTGCTGGTTGCAGATACTTAAGGAAGAGACTGACCAGCTCGGCATCTAACGCCTGTGCTGCTTACTGTTCTCCTCTGCAAAGTGGAAAAATAGAGGGTGGACTGAAATAGCCTCAGGGGTCCCTTTGTTTCTGTCTACAATTTTCTTTTTAAATTAAATGGAACCTTGCCACCCAATGGCTGTCCACTGGATCAGGGGTCTGCAGACTACACTGGCCCATGGACCCAATCCAGGCCGCAGCCTAGTTTTGTACATAGTTTGATTGAAACGCTGCCACACCCATTCTAGAGGCTAATTATCTGCGACTGCTCTCAGCCCACAAAGTTCAGTAGCTGCTTAGCTTTGAAAAAGCTGTATATTCACAAAGCCTGAAATGTTTACTGTCTGACAATTTATAGACAGTGTCTGCTGAGCCCTGAACTAGATGATGAGCAATGAATTCATATACTTCCCCAAAGCACTGATGTTTTGAGCCCAGGGAGGGTAAGCGGTCATTTGACCACAGAGCTCACGGCGTCTTACACTTACTTGGGCAAACCTTTAATACAAGCAGCCAAGTCCTTGGTCATGAAGCCAGCCTCGATGGTCTCCACACAGACGTCTTCCAAAGCCTTTGCAAAGAAGCCGAGCTCTTTGTTGTTATCGAGCTTGGCTCTGTGGGCTAACCCCCTGGTCCAGGCAAAAATGGAAGCTGAGAGGACAAAAAACAAGCACACACACTTCAATCATACCAGCCAGACATATTCCCAATGTGTCAGTTCCCAAAGATAGAAGTGGGGTTTTTTTTGTTTTTTAAATTTAGGTGACTGACTTCATCAGATGCTCTCCTCAAGCACTCTAAATTTTAGGAGAGTTAGAAATATTTTACTGAATAGAAACTTTTAAAAATCTGCATGGTTAGAAGGATCTATTTGTGTGGCTCTTAGATTCTTAGCCATATGTGACATTTCAATGCACCAAAGGAAAAGGAAAATGCTGTTGATAACATTCTCCTCTATGATATGTACTGTCCCTCCAAGTGAAAAAGCATATTTTGCATATATTTTAAGAAGCATGTTAAAACAGCTCCCGTTAGGGGAACAGGTCAGCCGTGTGGTGGTAATTTTACACACAAAGCATCTGGCAGCCAAAGGAACACGTCGGAGTCCCTTTTGGATCTCCACTCTCTGGCTGGATGTCAGTATAGCAGTTATTCACTCTCTCACCAATGGGATTGGTAGATGTCTCCTGCCCCTTCTGGTGCATGCGGTAGTGACGCGTTACAGTCCCGTGGGCAGCCTCTGCTTCCACCGTCTTGCCGTCTGGACAAATCAGCACGCTGGTCATCATGCCCAGAGAGCCATAACCTGTAAGTGGCAGAGCATGAAGTACTGGCTTCAACTGCATGGAGAGCCCCGGGTCGCTCAGGGATGAGAGCAAATGACTTCATCTTCACGGCTCCCGGGAAGCCAAACAGACACCATAGTCCTTTTCCCACACTTACTGATCTCGGGGGACTCAGGGTCTGACTGCCTGCATTCCACCCTAGTTCTGTGACTTCCTAGCTACTGTGGCTCAGTTTTCTAACCTATAAAATGGGAATAATAAAACACCTACTTAATCGGCTTGTTGTACGAATTAGATGAATACACGTATGTGCAGGAGTAAACACAAAATTTATTTGTTCCTTAGGATGGC